ACTTTTGATCGCCACTGTATATCAAATGGAAAAACAATAACTATCAAACACAGCCTATGTCATTACCATTTTATACCTCAACAAAATGTCAAAATATCACATTTTTATCTTAATTGGCTGCTGAGAAATAAAATTGTATATTTATTATGTGTTTATTATGTTAAAATACAACAAAAATTTAATAATTCATGCAAATAGAATTGCATTTAAGCACAACTGTAAAGTAAAATATGCTCTAGAATTTTACTAATACTTTGTTGTATAGCCCTTAGCCCGTTGAACTGCTTTAACTCTACTGTTCATACTTAGAATAAGTTTCTGAAATACAGCATCTGAAATTTTCTCCCATTCTTCTTAAAGAACTACAGCTAATTCTCTCTCAGATACAGGTGGAAGATCCCATTTTCTAATTTGTCTTTCAAGTTCATCCCATAGCTGTTCAATGGAATTAAGGTCAGGGCTTTGCCCAGGCCATTTCATCAAGTTTATATCTGAATCAACAAAAAATTTCATTGTCAATTTGCTTGTATGAACAGTAGCATTATCTTACTAAAATTCATACTCAACGATTTCCTCCTCAGATCTTTTCATAAATGGTATTAAATGAGTGTTTAAAATATCTATATACTTCTGACTATTAATTGTTCCTTCAGCTCGGACCAAAGGCCCCAAAGATTTCCATATAAAACAACCCGTACTATTACTCCACCATCACCATGCTTAACTGTTGAAACAACACAGTCAATGTCATATGTTTCCTTTGGAAGTCTCCAAACTCAAGTTCTCCTATCACTTTTAAATAAAGTAAACCAAGATTCATCATGCCAGATAACTTCTTTCATTACTTATTTATCTATTCTTGATATTGTCTACATCACTGTAACTGGTCTTGATGATTCTTTGCTAAAATGAGTGGCTTCCTGACAGCAACTCAACTATGGTAGCCTGCTTCATGCAAACTCTCTTAATTGTTTTGATGCTAACAACAGTTTCAGATGACTGGACAAAGTTGCTCTGGAGTTGTCTTGCTGATTGTTAATGATTTGACTTAATAATTCTTACAATATGGCGCTTGTCCTGATCAGTGAGTATTGGTGGCCAGCCACTGCATGGATGAGAACTTCCAACGCCAGTTTCACTATATCTTTCTATTGTGTCATGTACTATGCTTTTTGGGTGGCCAGTTTTTGCTTCAATTTCTCATTCAGTATGTCCAAAAATCCTTCATTTCATTAAAAATAAGTTTGAATGCTTGGTTTTTTGCAAAATGTGTGGAAAGAGGAAGCAGAAAGCCTAATACAATATCCTACATTGTAAATGCGCGCATTTACACTGTGAATGCACACACATGTGATCATTTTTCAGTTAATGATCTGCAAAATTAAAATGACGTCACTTGAATGCTATAGCAAAATTTATTTACATTTTTCAAAATGTATAACATCTGCTGCAAAACCACGTTTGAAGTTTGTTAATAATGTAAATGGTAATTTATTTATTTTCGTTTAGCAAATTCGGTTATAGGAAAACTCAAATGTTTACATATTAATTTATAACGAAATTTTGCTGGAATGTAGCGCAATACAAGCGCAAACTATGGCTAAAGTTTCATAACAATCTGAGGTTTCGTTATGGAATTATGCATAATCAACGAAGATTTTAAGGCTGTAGAATTTTAATTATTTTTTTTTTACATCATAAATTAGGAAATTCTAAATAATATCTAATACTAAATAGATCGAAGTAAAATACAAATCTTTAATGATAAGAAATGGTTATGTATGAGAGAATTTTTTATAAAGGACACTTCCATTTGTAGAAATCCATATACATGTACAGTACAAGTGCTTGTATAATATATGCATATGTTTGTTTAAAATTATTTAAAATGCGTTTAAGCTTCAAACTTAATGTTATTTTTTCTATGTTATGTATCTAAAAATTAATTATATATCAAATATTATACTGACTTTCTTAGCGTCATGTGCATCTGAAAATAATATAACACCTCACATTGTTTTGTAAAGAAAATTGTTTGATTGTGAATATTTACAATTGAAAATGTTCAAGTTTGTCGTTTAACGAATTTGTAAACTTAGAAATATTAGAACTATTGGTACTATTAGTATTATTACGCGAAAATGCCCATCGTTTATATGTATAGTATGGCGGTTCCTATTCCGCCGAAGGCACCTGATTTTTAAAATAATCAAATTTTGAGACATGCATAATATTATTAAACTTTTAATTTCGTGTTTCTTGCTTACCATAGATGCTAGCACATGAGTTCAGGTTTCGTCAATACCATACATGTTCACCATAATAGACACATAAATTAGCAATTAAAAAAAAATAAAGTTTTGTCAATTATGTGTCAGCTTTATAAGATTTTTACCCATTGTAGCAAATAAACCAAAATATATCGTGCAATTCTTTTTGTGACCCGATACTCAAAGTTGCTGAATGAATGATCAATATCCAGTTTTTCGAGTGATTGTTGACTATCATGCGCGAGCAACATTAAAATATGCAATCCTGTCAAGGTTATTATCAAACCTTCAACGACGTCTGCAGTTATCTTAACAGTTTTGGAACTGTTCTTCTAACCACGCCTTTCTGTCAAAAGCAATGAAAGATTTAAGTATTCCGAGACATTTATGAATAATACGAGTAGTTTACATACCACCATCTTCTTGGTCCATATCCATCGATATTGGGTAATAAGGATAGCGTGGTTATTATAAAAATAATTAGAAGTTTGTAATCGTATTTACCGTAATCAAATCTTTTTTTTCCAACAAACTGGTTAAATTGGAGTTAATGGCAAAAAGAAATTGAATGTAATTTTAACTGTATTAAATGCAATCTTACCCCGAAGATAAGTAGAAATAGATACTGTAAGGGAAAGAAACGTGTTTAAACCATGAGTCCAAACTGTCAATGCACCAACTATCCCACACGCTGGACTGGACCAAGGGATCGCATATATAGCGCCATAGCTCTTTTTTATAAGTTAAAAATTTATATACAAGTCTAAAGATTCACCAGTTGTAACGGTATAAAATGGTAATGACATAGGCTGTGTTTGATAGTTATTGTTTTTCCATTTGATATACAGTGGCGATCAAAAGT